CTTATCCATTTGCTTCTCCTTATCCTTGGCATTGAATGAGAGACAAGGAGAAGGAGAACAATCAACCGAAGCCGAAGTCAAACCTCAGATCCTGGGTTGCTTACTTGGAAGTTTGACTGCTTACCTTGTCTGTCACTTCTTTCGGCAGATCTCCTAGCTCGGCGACTTGGGACTCCTACTATAGGGTTTGTATCACACTTGACTAAGCCCGAAACTACAACTAAGCTCAGTGAAATTGATACATTACCTTGTTGCGTCAACATCAGCTAAGTACACCATTCCCGATGGAGGAAAGGTACTTCCAGAGAAGGGCAGATGAAGATCAGACCACACTTCGTACTTAGAAGTTTCGTGATTACTCAAGGGATTGGATCTTGCAATCCCCAACCGAGAGTTTCCCTCACCGGGAACTTAGGGGAGCACTGTTTGTACCATACTTGACCAATACCGAAACTACCGAGCACCGGCCAACGCATACTGTCAAGGACCCAGAAGAGTTCCCCTCCGACCAGGAGGCCAATCACTACTCGACACGTGTCAAGATTAGAAGCCAATCAGAGCGCAGCACGTGTCGACATCAAGAACCAATCATAACATGACACATGTCAATGTGACAAAGCTACAAGTTTTTCATAAATAGGGTCATCCCCCACAATATTGCCTAATGCCATTGTGTTAAATCATTCACAAGAACTCACTAAATTGAGAGCTTGATCCTTTGTACTTTGTGTAAAGCCCTTCACTACTAATAAGAACTCCTCTACTCCGTGGACGTAGCCAATCTGGGTGAACCACGTACATCCTGTGTTTGCTTCTCTGTCTCTATTCATTTACGTACTTATCCTCACTAGTGACCGAAGCAACCAAGCGAAGGTCATAAAACCTGACACTTTCTGTTGTACCAAAGTCTTCGCTGATTTTGTGCATCAACATTATTATTATTTTATAATAATTTTGTCAAGAAAATCATTTTAATTGTTTTATATGTCCACGTGGTGTCACAGTGCTACATTTCTCTATAATCATCGTCCCGAAGTCTTTCACGCCTAAGCTAATGAAAGTTCAACATGAAAGCAAAACGTAACTTTAGGTATAAAATTTAAAAGTTAAACGAAAAAAAAACTAAGGGTAACAAAATGCAAAATTTTCACGATATTTACGACTAATAAAGTGAGAATTAATGAGCCAAAATTTCGCAACGTCATCAACAGAAGTATCAAAGTGGGAGAAAATCAAACTTTAGGTATGAAAGTGAGTCGAAAAAAAATAACTATAGTAAAATACAATTTTGACGAAACTTGAGAGTAGTAACGTGATAATTACTATCACAATCAATTTTAAATGCTTCAAATGTAGTGTCAAAAGTATATATTCTCGAACATATATGAATAGTTCACCTTTTCTTAGACTTAGACCAGAGAACCAGAAGCAATATGACGGGTGTGTGTATCTTACTTTGCTTCTTTACAGACACATACGAAATTCTTTACAAACACATACTTATATTGTCAGATTATCAAATTGGATGGTCTCTTTCATCCAAAAGTCAATCTAACAGATTCACGGGATGATAATATAGGTCTTCTGTTGCTTAAGAAAGAGTAATTTCCTAGTGACGTGGCAAAATTACCAATATTTCCAAAAGTTAAAGCTGGTAAGATGTTAACCAAAACCCACATTCAAAACCCAAAGTAAACAAAATCACTTTCCAAAAAAAAAAAAAAGTGTAAACAAAATCATACAAAATGAATGATCATAGGCAGAATTCAAAGATAATATACCAGGATATACCATGAAGAGATTACAGCTGTAAGTAGGTAAAACACCCAAAAAAAATAAAAAACTTTTTAGTTAGATTTTTGAAATTGGCATAACGTCTCGTTTTAGTTTCTGAGATTTTAAAACAATAGAAGTAGTCCTTAAGATTGTCTACTGTCAATAATTTTGGTCTTTATGTGAAAAATCTCTTTTAAATTGAGAGTATTTTTGTCAAATCAATCCCTCCACTTGAATTGATGGTTTCTTCAATTTATCAGAGATTTTTAATAGAATAACCAAAATAATTGACAGTAGACGATCTCATAGACCATTTCTATTGACTTTAAACATCATAGATCAAAATGAGGAGTTATGTCATCTCATTGATCATTTTAACTAAAAAGCCAAAATATAAACAATGTAAGAAAGCACTAGTAGATAAGGTATAAACTTACAAATATGCTATAAATGTCAATTTCTCACCATGAAAAGCAAGATTTTGAGCATGTAAAAGTAAACAATTGACTTAATCGACTGAAGATTTAAGGTGAGCCTGAAATGATGAGTGTAAAATATTCTTTCGTAAATATATAACGACTTGTTCAAGAACTTTAAACTAAGGTTTTACACGTACACAAAATTAATAAGAATAAATAAAATACCTTCAAATTTGTCTATAACTTGAACTCCTCTTTAAATTTAATCACATGGACATGGGGCTAGTCCAAGGAAACAATGAATGGCTTCCACTTAGTTGAGAATGGTCCCAGAGGTATACTATTAATTACCACACACGTATTCAGTTGTGACTTTCGCTTGTTGCTTCCACATTCCTTTTTTCTGAAATTTTGTTGTTTGAGGATGCCCCGCTCATACAAATCTCTGGCTTCGTCCTGGGTGGTGCTGTACAAATGTATTAAATTATAAATACAATACTTGTTAATTATGAAAATCCGCTGGGGAGAAGAGTACTGTATGAACAATTGAACACCATGGTTCGGGAAAAGTGAAAGGAATTACTCTCTGGATGACATGCAAGCAGAAGAGCCTAGAAACAAAGAATCTTCACAAAGCGAAAATACACACTTCATTCCACCCCATTCCACTGCCAAAACAAAAAACCACCTTAGTTTTTCCTCCAAAACAATTAGGGTGAACAGCTAAGTTACCTTCAGTAGAGAAGGTAACTTCACAGCATGAAGAAAACCTGCAAGTCCTACAAATCCAGCATCATAGGCTCCTAAAAAAGTACAAAGTGTTTTATTCTTCATTTATTGTAAGTACAGCACAGTCTAACAGCGGGAAAATCAAATAAGCACTCATTTAAGCACTCATTCATGACCTGTAGCTCTTTATATACTATTTGAAAAAGAATTTTAAGTTTATTGAACATGTTTTTCTTAGAGAGTTGAAACAATAAACAAGTTACGTCGTAACAGCATACCGCTCTTTAGATAAGAACGTACTCAGACATGTTAAAATAGATTTATTCATCCCCAGTGATAAATGATAAAAGAAATGACTCTTCATTACATAAACCATCAATAGCCATGAGCGCTATGTGTGTGTTTGTGCGCATTTGTTTCTTTTGGTATGAATGGATACCTTTGATCTAAATAGATGAAACAAAAAGGTCTTTTTCACTCCTCTCTAAATAGTTAAACACCAATAGAAGAAAGACTTTGTTCAAAAGCATTTTTCCATACCAACAAAAGCCAAGCTGGTGTTCAAATATGATAGAATATACAATTAAAGCAGCAGGCAGCGAAGAAGTGAAAGACTAACCAACGAATTTATATTTTCTGCCACTGGCAACCAAGTGAATCTGCTCCAGCAAAATATGAATAGATATCACACATCCTGGATACGAACATTTCCATGATACACGCTCACAATTTGAGGTACTTGGTGGAGATATCTGGTCACAAATCTGTCCAAGAACTTCTTCTCCGTCGGTAGGAACACGGTACTCAAACTCAGGTTTTCAATATTTACCAATCCCTTCAACCGCAAAACTTTTACAACCCTACATCTCGGGATAATTCTCTTCTCCAAACTCAAACTCATGACCACCGGGTACTTGGTAATCATTCTTAGCGGCCATCCCATCTTGTTCACTAACAATTCCATTACTTGCGTTATTTTCTTCTCCGACTTAGTCATACACTGCGGGAACTGCCTGAAAGCCGTGAGAACCTCATCGTCAGACCAACCCCACCTCTTATAAGCTTCAGAATTACGATTCCATATGGACTTACTATTCCTACTACACAATGCTTTTATTGCCATCACAGACATTGATGTTTCCAGATTAAAGCCCATTTGCTTAACCTCATCCACAACTCTGCCAAAATCCTCAGGCTTTCGTAATAAACAGGTAGGAAAATGAGTTAGCAACAGAGAAATACGTGATTGGGGCATACCTAATTCTCTCAAACTTTCAATATTTGGTGCCACATTCTTCGAATGCCCTTCCAAGAAAATACGCGAACCGCCCTTCAAAAAAGCAACGAAGTGCTTCTCAGAAATGATACTCCTAAGGAAATTATAAGTGGGTGTAATCCGCTTCTCCAAGCTCATAGCCAAAATATGCGGATCATACGCCAGAGTTTTTGCAAGGGCCTCCCTTGAAACTCCAGTCGACCTGAAAAATTCAAGCTTTGGCAAAAGGGTTTTCTCCGGATTGGAGTAAAGAAGTTGTGGGCAGGACCTGACCACCTTCGAGATCTGGGTGGCAGAGAATCCATGGTCTCTGAGGAAGGACAGAAAGGAGTCTGCAATTTTGGGGGATCGCAACTCGACCCACTTAGATGCTGAAATCGCACCTTCTGGGGACAGCCCACATGAGTTTATGAGGTAATTTACTGTGAAACTGTGGTGGGTTTCTGGGATTTTTGAGGTCAAGTGTCCGCAGAGTATCTGAATATGAGGAGGGAAATGTGAGGGTTTTAGATATTTGGAAGCAAATGTAGAAGAAGATGTTGAAAACCCTAATCGAAGGCTGTTGAAATTGCAGAGCGGACTCATGGTAGATGTCGATGGCGAATAACTTACGCTGTAGAATTCAAAACCCTAAACCTAAACCCTGTTTGTTACTTGAAATGAACCCTTTTTGTTTCTTGAATAAATTTTGTTTGCATTTGAAAAAATAAAAAAAAATATATTCTTTCAATTATTATTTATATTTTCAAAGAAAACCTAAGCATTTTCAATTGAAGATTAAACTTGTTTTTATATTTATTTTAGAAAATTGTTATTACTACTTCAAAAATCTTATTCTACATTCCAAACTTTTTATATTAGAAAAGAAAAACGCACTTATAAAAATGGTAGAATGAAATTTTTAGAATGTTAATAACACTTTCCTTATTTTATACTCATTTTATATGATAGTCCTTTTTATTTAGATACATCAGTAGTTTGTCTTTATAGTAGGGATTCACACCATTTTTACAAAACATCTTTAACGTATTATTTCTTGGCCAATTTTTTTAAGTTTGGGACCAAACTGTTAGATGAACTAAACAATGATGGTTCAAAGTATAATTATCTCAAATTTATTAATTGGATGTGAAAGTTAAATGGTGCAAACATTTTAAAAGAGGGGTACTGTTGAAAGAAGTAAGAAATCCGCTGGCAAAAGTAAATGCGCGAGAAATTGTAGTAATGATATCTCAACTTTAATTCAATTAGAGTAATGGTTATTTAATTAAAAATTCATGACTATTGTTCTCTTAATTCATCAAAATGTGTGGCTATGGTCATTTTCGTCAACTTAGTTATAATTTTTGTCAAAATAAGTAACGTGCCACGCACATGAGGCTAAATAAGGGGCAAATATGAACAACCAAATTAAGTTTTAACCCAATTAGAATAATGATCCCTCAATTTTAACCTAATTGAAGCAATAATTCCTGAATTTTAAACTAATTATAGCATTAGTCATTCCAACATAATTTTTTCTGATAAAATTTTAATAGAGTTGATAAAAATGATAATAACCATATATTTTAGGGAACTTTAATGAAAAGCACCCGGTACTGTTCACTTTAACGAATTTTTGCTAAAAGTCAATCCTGGTACTCACTTTACCCTTTATTTTATCCTTATCATTAAAACTCAAAATTTTCAAACCCTTTTCATTAGTTTTCCTTATATTTTAATGAGTCAAGAAACGAATAGATATGAATTTTTAATTAAAAAATCTTTATTTCAATTGATTTAAAATTGGGCGATCATTTATACAATTTTCTCTAAAAACGCAGGTTAGAAGGGTTTCTAGAGGGTTTAAGGTTCAAAGTGAAGAAATACATTCCAATCTCTCTCTCTCTCTCTCTCTCTCTCTCTCAAATTCGTCATGGAAAAGAACGGCACCGAATACGAACCCACATTCACAGCAGACAACGACGACGACGAAGAATCCTAGGAGCTCCCAAGACTGGAGCGATTGGAATGCAGAACCAGAAGAAGAAGACGATGAAGAATAAGAGGGCTCGGACTTGCTGTGCTTGTTCTGCGACTCCAGGTACAGTTCCTGCGACCACCTCTTCGACCACTGCACTTCGACCCACCGTTTCGACTTTCGCGCTGTCCGAAAAGCGCTGGGTCTAAATTTCTATGGCTCTTTCAAGCTCATTAACTTCGTTCGCTCTCAGGTCAGTCACTGAGCTGACAGACAAACAAAGGGAATGAAAACAATTGAAATGTTTTGTGATAAAATGTAGTGATTGGATTGGATTAGCGTTGTTTGATTAGTTCTTTCGCTTTCGGTTTTGATTTGTTTGAGTGAGAGAAGTTTGAAGAATTCGATTTTACTGGGTGGTATCTTTGGTGGCAATTGCTAAGACCTTAGATTTTAAAACTTTTGATCTCGGTATATCAAATTTTAAACATAAAATAATAATCCATATGAATTTTTTTTTGCATTGGGAATGAAAAGAAACAAAAGGACAATGGTTTAAACTAATAAAAAATTAATAAAAAGCATTTAATAATTAATTAAAAAAAATTGAAGGTGCTGTCAAATTTGGCAGGAATGGGAGAGATGTCAATCCATGTCATGCCACATCATATTTAGCTTCTTAGTTGAAAAATATTAATGCTATCTTTTGTTACCGTTATTACTGATTTGAATATTTTGACATCTCCTTTGGAGATGCTCTAAGAAGTCGAAAATCAAAGTTTATTTCTTTATCTAATGTGAAGTTAAATTCATTGTTTTTATTAGTGTTGGGATATTAATGAGAAATGGGTTAAAAATAGTGATCTTCAAATCCTTACGCTCTGCATAACATGAAATACCCAGTTCAAATTCCAATTGTACTATGGCTCGTATGGGAAGTGCTTTTAAAAGATTGAAACCGCTTTTAGAGAAAAAATTTCGCTTGTAAAGTAAATGTTTTTGAAACCAATCCCTAGTAAAAATGCAAGTTTCTGCAAGAGCATATTACAGGAAGCACTTCAAGTGTTTTTGGAACCCAAATTCATTTTCTTTAAAAGCACTTTCAGTCATTTAAAAGCATTTTCCAAATGAGCCCCTAGTTGGCTGAATTTGTATTAATGTATGAAAAGCATTCCAGTATCCATGTTGTAACATTTCTAGTAGTTTTTGTTGATACACAAAACCGAAGGTCTTGGAACAACGTATATCCGACCGTGAATCTGCAAGAAATGTAAATAACACAAGGTGTATCGTGGTTCACCCCAAGGTTTGGGCTACATCCACACTGATATTGTATTTCTGAGAGAGAGAGAGCTCTGAATATGAGAGTGAGAGCTTTGAGAGAGCTTAGAGCTTAGGGGATGTGAGGAGGCTTCTTTCTTTGTGAGGGTGAGGAGACCCTTTTATAGAATAAGGGCTCCTCCCCTTTTTACATATTTGCCCATTCACTTATTACATAATTACATTTGAATCCCCCAAGTATTTATACGAGATCCAAATACGGAGGCCCTAAGTATGATATAAATAGTAGTCCCCCAAGTCTTCAGTCAAGAGAGTCTTTTGGCTGGAGACTTGAAATTCAGTCCATGTGTGGGCCGAAGTAACTAGATGTCGTCTAGAACTGATGCTTGATATGAGGCGGTGCCCAATCTGAAATGATGCTAAACTAGAAATAGCACATGTTGCGACGCTGCTTTGCTTGTGTTGTCTTGGTTGGCTCGGCTTGTGGCGTTGAAGGTGAAAGAGTCCCTTTTATAGAATAAGGACTCGCTCCCTCATACATGAATGAGAGTTGATGTCTCTAATGAAAGTGAGGGAGTCCCTTTTATAGAATGGGCTCTCCTCAATACATAAAGTAATGGGTACTCTCTAATGAAAGTGAGGGAGTCCCTTTTATAAAATAAGGGCTCGCTCCTCAATAATGGGTTAAGTCCCCCGAGTATTTTTCATAAGGCCCAGTTGAGGCCCAATATATGGTACGTAATGTAGTCCCCCAAGTATTCAGTCAATAGAGTCTGTTGGCTGGAGACTTCAAATTGAATCTATGTATGGGCCGAAGTGGCGGTTGTTCGGATGCGGTATTTGTATACCCTACACTGAAGCTTTGTAGGTGAAGCTTTGCAAGTGAAGCTTTGCAAGCTGATTGACATGAGTGATGCTCATGAATGTTTATGTTGATTGACATGAGTGATGCTCATGGATGTTGACATAAGTAATGCTCATGAATGTTAACATGAGTGATGCTCATTAATGTTGACATGAATGATGGTCATGAATGTTTATGTATGATTGTCATGAGTGATGCTCATGAAAGTTTATGTATGAATGACATGAGTAATGCTCATGTATAATTTGGAGTACTGGGCGTACTTTTGATCACCTGGTTGGTGGCATGAAGGAGAGTACGGGTTGTACATTTCATCACCTGGTTGGTGCATGAATGGCTAGTTGCCAAATGATATTAGAGTACGGGTTGTATATTTCATCACCTAGTTGGTGGCATGAAGGAGAGTATGTGTTGTACATTTCTTCACCTGGTTGGTGGCATGAATGTGTGTTCCTTCTTCACCTGATTGGTGATAAAGGTGGCAAGTTGCCAAATGATGTAAGCATGCGGCCCGTCAGTCTAGAAGTTGTTAGACTTTTTTAATCGGCGACAATGTAGATTAGTAGAGCTGGTTGCTCAATAATTCCTTTTTTATCAGCTTTGTCTGATGGCTTTGATTTGAGGAAAGACAGCAGCTGGTCCTGAGTCGGACCCTTTGACCCAGTATTGCGGTAGATTTGCATCGAAAACAGAGGGTCCCACCTACTTGCATGTACGCCATATAATTGCATGTTGTTCGGATATGGGCACATGCAAGCTTTGCATAGTTGCAGCAGATAATTGCAGTGGAGATAATATATATATATATAACAAGTGAGTGCATGGTTGGAGTTCGTGGAGGACCCGTTGGTGGTGCCCGTGCCACTGCTAGTGGATGATTACTTTTGCCTGTTTTTTATGATGGTGTCTCTTTCTTTTTGAGTTGATGGTCGACACATTAATTCGTCAGATAAAAAATTCTTATCTTCTTTCATCAGCTTTCTCTGTCCACTACGACATTGAACCTCAACTCCATGATATGGGTCCATCTAAAAAGCAACTTGGGATTGATTGTAACCACCCTTTCTAACCCAGTCACCAATCGCCAAAAAACTGAGTGAGCTATCAGGTTTCATAGGGTGCTCACATTGCTGAAGCTCCACCGTCGACACAGGAACAAAGCTCAACAGAACAATATTCATGCAAACAACCACCCACAGCAACCCCATGGCCATGGACATCAAGTAGCCAAGATTATGTTTTTGTCTCTGTGTGTGTTTGTTGTTCAGAAGGTTCTTGACGGCCACGACGGAAGAGAAAATTTGGGGTAAGATGAAAGAGGGCTTGACCGTCAACGAATACATGATTTGGTTAGCCTGCCCTTTTCCTCCATCAACATCAGCAGACCTGACACAATGGGTGTGACTTGAGACTTCACAGTGCATCGCAGAGATGAGGAGCCGAGGCCTTTTAGTCTCTGTTTTGGCTCGAGATTTCCCTTCTCTGGATCTGAAACTTCACGCCTATTGTGGGCTTTTGAGTGAGTGCTGAACTCATTCCGTGCATAGCG